CGGCCTGCTGTAGGTGACCCTGCTTCGGCAGGGGGGTTGGACTAGATGACCCACAGAGGTCCCTTCCAACCCCTACTATTCTGTGATTCTGTGAATTTCAAGAAATATAGCAATTTTTTAGATATTGTCTCTTCTGACAAAAGGACACTGGCAAATGTGTAAGTAAACAGAATAAAAATATTAGGGAGAAATTAGTGAAATACAGAATGTATAGAATTCTCCATCCAGAATTAAGTATTTATTTATGAAAAAGCATTTGACTGTTCACTGTCAGACACCGGCATTTTTGCAGACTAGCACTGGATATGCTCCCACCTTTCCAGATGCTTATACCACTGTGGAAATACTGAAGACATGGGCTGTGGGTGTTTAGATAAGCCAAAGTTAGCATTCTAGTAATGCACACAAGTGGCAGCCACCACTGATATCTGATTTTTAAAAGAAGTTGTTCCACAAGGAACCACTGTGGGCTGGTTTACTGTGGATTTGTGTTGTGTTCCTGTATCCTCCCCTGCTGTGAGTTCAACTCTCCTCAAGGACTTCCACCTTCCATAATGCCTCCTCTTTCTCATTCTTGTCCCATATCGCTCACTTCTTTTTCCATCCTTACACCATATAAAAATCGTCCCCAGCTTCCTATGACCCAAACCAATCCACTGGTCAAAAGGCAGCGAGTGCTATAACTGGATCTGAGATAACCAGGCAAACAGAACAAACAGAACAAAAACTGGAGCTCGTGTTACAGCCTGTTTTTAATCCTCCAGAGGACACAGCTGTCAGGTCTTTCTCTCTGTGCCCTCCTCTACCAGATGCTGATTTTAAAAGAATTTGTGAGAGTGTTGGTTCTTTCAAATTTTTACTGATTTGGAATATGTATTTTAAACTGACCAGCAGTTCAAAAAGTGAAAAAAGGGAAGGTTGGGGTGAGAATGGTGAGGACAGGCTGTTGGGAAGATAATCCAAGTAACTTCATAGCACATCATTGGAAACCAGGCTAAAATAGAAAAAAGCTAAGCTTAACAAAAACAAGTTTTAACCTTTCTTCATTTAAACAATTTCTTATGTATAATTACACTGTGTATGTGTACATACACTGTTGATATATGTCAAGTTTATTCAGTGAGTTTTCCTGTAAAAACTCCAGCTTTTTAAAGTTCCTGTTCCAGTTGTACCAGGTGAAGTGAAAGTTTCCTTTTCCAAAGTTCAGTTTACCATGAGTCTTTGCTTTACTGATTTTTATTCTTTCTTTTTTTTCCCATTTATTGCTCCATAGGAGCAGTCTCACAGGTGCTGGACAGCCTGGAAGAAATTCATGCACTTACAGACTGCAGTGAAAAAGACTTAGATTTTCTTCACAGTGTTTTCCAGGATCAGCATCTTCACACGCTACTAGATGTAAGTTTTCTGTGATAAACAATTTTAATGCATTTCTGTGTCTGTTGTTCATAGGATAATATTTTGGTTTATCCTGAATATATTACCTTTTTTTGTTTCATAGCAAAATGAATTTATTTAGGTGTGGAATGTAACAATTAACTAGCACTTTACGCAAAAATACATTTTAGGACTCTACATATGGAATATTTTAGAATACACAAGTGGTTAATTAATTGGTTTGAATTAATAGCTTTGCTTTAAAATAATTAATCGGAATAGGCCTTTTTCTTTTGATAAGGGCTGGGTTTTATTTTTTATTTTAAATGTGAATTGTAAGTTTATAAATGCACAGATTCATTCCTTTTTTATTATTTTTAAGTGACGTAGTAATCTTAGACTAGTTCTATGGATATTCTTACACATATGACATTTAGTGTGTGAAATGCCTAGGTATGCTTGTTTCTGTCCTGTTCTTGAACACAGTATGTGATGTGGTTCGTGAGACCTCTTACTCCATAGGACAACAGTGGGTGTTCCACAAGAAAATGTGCAAAAATTACAAAGCTGGAAGATAGGGGTTAGTGCCTCCTGGTAGGCATGATCAGGATCTGGTTCCTGTTTCTTCGCTGTCTATCTGTAAGCATAGTTCACTGTCTGGCTACACATACAGAACAACTGTGGTATCAGATGGTTCATAGATTTTTTTTATTTTTTTCCCCAGAAAACTAAAGAACTCTGTTTTGAAAAAATAATTTTGAAAAGCAAGTAGTCTGGTGTTTGAGAGAAAAATGATTGCGTGCTCCTTACCTTTCTGTGCCTTGAGGACCTCCTGTTTTCAAAGTTTCTTGTTATCTTGTCACATGCAGAAATCCTGTTTGTATTTCCCAATGTTTTTTTAACCAAGAAGGCCTGTGTTCCAAATGCTTAAATTGCTTTATTTTTGTATTATATGATGCAGTATAGAAAGGTGATCAGATAATAGGAATGAGAATAACATGAGTGTAATAATAAGAACCAAAACACTCGTGTCACTCATGCAGGAAGGTTTTAGATATTTGTTAACTGCTATTATGTTGTCATATAACTCTTGAGCTTTGGTAAGCCGTATGGCCTCAGTTTAAGTGTTTTGCTGTGTGACAGGTCTACCAGACATTAACATGCTTCTGCAATGCTTTTGGATTTTTTCTGTTCTTTACAGCACCAGTCTGGCTCATAGTACTTCACTAATGATCTAATATTTCTGTAATGATCTGCTATAGCTTTTTCAACATGAAAAAAAATGCAAAAAAATTATACCATTTTGTCATTCCTTTACTTAATAATCCATCGTGGTTTAACCCCAGCTGGCACCACACAGCCACTCACTCACTTGCCCCTGGTGGGATGAGGGAGAGAATCTGAGGAGTAAAAGTGAGAAAACTTGTGGGTTGAGATAAAGACAGTTTAATAGGTAAAGCAAAAGCCACGCACACAAGCAAAGCAAAATAAGGAATTCATTCACTACTTCCCATCGGCAGGCCGGTGTTCAGGCATCTCCAGGAAAGCAGAGCTCCATCATGTGTGATGGTTGCCTGAGAAGAGAAATGCCTGGGGTCAGCTGCCCCAGCCGTGTCCCCTCTAAATTTCTTGTGCACCCCCATCCCACTTGCTGGCAGGATGGTGTGAGGAGCAGAAAAGACCTTGACGCTGTGTAAGCAATGCTCAGCAGTAACAAAACATCTCTGTGTTATCAATGCTATTTTCAGCACAAATCTAAAACATACCTCCATACTAGCTACTATGAAGAAAATTTACTCTATCCCAGCCAAAACCAGCACAAAATCATGGTCATTCTCTTAAACAGAAAGCAATACATTTAACTGCGTGCTATCATAACGTATTTGTGAGAACAAAACACTATCAGAAAGCATTTTTGTTTTAATATGCTATATGGAAGGGAGATGATAGAATCTTCCCAAAGATACATCCATTAGAATAATACAAAATAAAGTTCTAGAAGATTGCAACGTCATGAAATACATATTTGAAAGACTGAAGCAAGTTACAGACAGTATTATTTGAAAGGGTACCTTTTTCATTTCAGTAATTTGAATGTGGGAGATTGATTTGTGTTCATGCGTAGATACTATTCCAGTTTCTCTCAGAAGTCTGAAAAAATCATCAGTCATACTTGGATGAAGTTCTGTCAGGGAAACTGTTTATTCCTCTCAGAGTATTTGCGGTTAATGAGACCACCAGAACAAGTCACCTGTAAAGCATTATATTCCACTAAGTAGGAATTTGATAATCTGTTGTGTAGTTGTGGCTGTCACTTTCCATTAAAAGTACTGTTCCTCTTCCTTGGCCTTTTTCCATAGTTAAATTTGTTCTGAAGTTCCTGCTCTTTCTCAAGAGTTAGCCTTATTTTTAGATTAGGCATATGATGATAGTTCACTCCTGCTGCTGAAATACCTTCCTTTGCTTCTGAACCAACTCTTTTTTCTGAAAGCAAATAAAAAAGAAAGTACAATCTTTGTGTTGAGAGTGCAAGTTACCCTCATGGTGTTGTTTTCAGGTAATATAGATCACAAAATAGAAGTCTTCTTTCTCAGTAATTCATTAACTTAGGTATTATGAGGACAGGTACCTCTGAAGGCCATAGAAAGCAGGGTTCCTATCATCCCATTGATTTTTTTTAATGGATTCATTTATGTATGTCTGTTTAGATAGCTATCGAAAGACTCACTTCCACTTTAGCTGGGTGCCAAAGCTGTTCAAAACAAGCGGGAGAAAGGTGCCGACTACTTACAAAGTAATTTATATTCACTCTGGGCCAAATCCTGCAATACAGCAGCATATCCTGGTGTGGGCTTATTGAATAGTTTCATTGTGTGATTTTTTTTAATAATTTTACAGAATCCTACTATTGTGTTCAGTGTGTTTTTCCTGTACAGAAGTTACACAATTCATTATTATAAACTTAATTTTGTTTACTAGAGAGAGTAACGAAAAGGGCCTTCTAGAAACAACCATTTAGAAATATTCACTACCTAAAAAAATTTATTGTTTAATAATGATCTTTCTTTTAAAGTAGAAAAGTAACTTTGGGTTGGACAGATTTTATTTTTTTTCTCACTTCTGTTAGAAGTGCAATGATGAAAATTTTGGTGAATGTGGTAGGACATTCCTGTGTGTGACTTAGAACTGTCTGGGTTCATGCCTATATAAAGCTTTCTAAATTGTTTCCTTCTGGTATCCATTTTAGATAATAAAGAATGTAATAAAGTTAAGTAAAGGATATAAATAACTGTATGGAGAAATAGAGCTAAATTTAAGTAGTGAAGCAGCGTTTTATTACCTCTGACAGATTTTAGAAGCCCTATCAACAGCTTTGATTGAGGTTTTTTTTTTATGGACTTTCATGAAAGAGGAGCTGGGAGGCATTGGTCTCTTGTATCAGCAGTACTGATAAAGAAGTTGGAAGTAAATGTGAGGAGGCTGCCAATTTCGGAGACATTAGTGTTTGGCTATTTTGTGTGTCATGACAGAAGATTTTGCTTTAATGATTATTTGTTTTGAGAGGTATACTGGGCTTCAAGGCTGTGCCTAATGGGGAAGATCTTTACACATCGTGTTTCATCTCTATCGGTGCATTAAAGGAAGCAAAGTTTGCTAAAAAGTAAAACCAGAAGCTGCTATTTTATGCGGCTGCCTACATGGAAGGAGACAAAAGAAATCTTTCTTGTGTTGAGTCAAGTAGTGTGGTCACCTCTCCAGGGACGCTTTCTGTGGGTGATTCTGAATGCAGATGTCGTTCGATTTACAAGTGAGATTTTTGCTCAGCAGGAGAACAATATCAGCTTTTGTGTGACTGGGGCCTCTCTGTGCTACTGGCTTTGTCTACATCCTTCTGTCCTGAGTCAGATAGTTCTCTAGGCTGCTATCTTTTGGCTGTTAATTTAAGAAGACTGTTACATTATTTTCATAGATGGAATTATTAAGGTAAGCGTTGTTATTTCTGCAAGTTTATCTGCAATAGAAGCATTATGAATTTTAAAGTTTATTTTGCCTTCTGCTGGTGTAACACATTACACACGTACTACAGTTTTAACTAAATGAGATTAAATAGATTTTGCAGTAGCTACATGTATCATATCTAGATGTGTAGCCATTTCTTCCCTTTAGAGGTGAATTTATATTCATAGTGCATATACTTAAGGCATACTGATTTTTCAAGAGAATCTCGCTTTGATGTCTGTTATCCTTTGCTGCTAATGGTAATGTTTCAAAGGAACATGCATCCGTGCGCACTTCAGAGTTCTCTTGGTATTTCTTTTTAACTCAGTCATCCAAACAGCTTTGGTCCTGAAGTCTAGACTTTTAAGGAAACATGTTTTCTCTTTTGCTAGAAAGAATGTTATTGGGACCTCAGTTTAGCCTCTTACATAGTTGACTAAAGCTTTCTACTGGATTTGTTTTGGTTTGTTTTGTTTACCATCTCAATGTTGGACGTTGGCATGGTAAACTTGAACATCTTTGGTAAAAGTATCAGTTATTCAGCAGTGTCCGGCCATGACTAATACTATAGTTCTCTATTTGAAAATGTTTTAAGTTCTTCACACATTTATCCCCGATTTTTTCTTTTTTGAGCAAAGTGTATTAATTTAACAATTCTATTATATCCTTTGGGAAAAAACAAAGCAAGAGGCATTTTGATTTCTATTTTCAGGATGCTTTCATTTCCTTCTTCCTTTCTTTTCTTTTAAATCATTAATAGATTGGTGGAATTTCTATCATACAATACAGAAAAGAAAATAAAACCAGCAGCTGTATAGAAAAAATTTAAATACTTTCATGAATCGATTTTCTATGTTTTGATTTGAAGAATGGTTTTCTATGTGAATCACATAGTGTGGTTTAAGTTTTTTAGATCGATGCTGGTCCTTACCCTCTTGAATATTCACTATATTAAAACTAATAAGTGGAAACATGTATGCATTTCTTTTGTAAAAACAGCTCAGAAAGTGTGTGTGTGCCAG